GGTGCCTGGGCCCCTGGAGATCTTGGTCTCCCACTGCTCTTGCAGATTGCAGTCTTGCAGATTGGCAAACTGAGGTCCAAGGGAGCGGTGGCGTGTTCAGACCACAGGGTCAGCTGGGGACAGAGTGAGGCTCTATTCCAGCCTCCTTCACCCCCTACCCTGTTTTCTTCCCATCATCCTTTCCTATCTTTTTGGTTGTTGTTGAAGAAGAGTGGCCCTGAGCTAACATCTGTGCCCATCTTCCTCTATTTTGTGTGGGACGCCTGCTGCAGCATGGCTTGATGAGCAGTGCTAGGTGTGCGCCCAGGATCTGATCCTGTGAAGCCCGGGCCACTGAAGCGGAGCTTGCGAACTTAACCACTAGGCCACGGAGCCAGCCCCATCCTTTCCTATCTTACTTTACAAACCTGCAGGAGGCTCCATTTCCCAAGCTCGGCTTCACTCTCGTCTCCAGAGGCCTCTGGAAAGGAGGGCCTCGTCTGAGGACAGAGGCTGGTGCAGGGGGCTCGTGCGGGGTGGGCGCAGAGTGGGTCCCCAGCCCCTGCCAGCCTCCCTCGCAGGTGGGGCTCACATGGCGTGCTCTGTGCCCTGGCACACCGGGGCCCTGTAGTGTTGTTGCCTTCGGTCCTTACCACCCTCCTGGGACCCAGAAAGGCTCATCCACGTTTTGCAGAGGAAAACATCAGCTGGAGAAGTTCCTGGTCTCGCACCAAGTCCATTTGCCCCGCAGGGCTGGGATGGGAACTTGAGCGGCCGGCCTGTGCTGGCGCCCAGCGTGCTCTGGGCGGCCTCGAGTACCAGTGGCTCACTCTTGCTTTTGCTTCTGGTTTTCCCGGAGGCGTCCGCAGGTGGCCCAGGGCAAGGGGCTCTGTGCATGTTGGCCGGGGAACTTGCAGGAACCGGGACCAGAGGGGAAGGGCTGCACATGGTGCATTGCTGTCTGTGGTTTGCCCCGAGCTTGCTGAGGAAGGTCCTCAAAATTGCCTAAGTCCTTTACACACACAGAGACGAGGTCTTGCCAGGGGCCAGGGCCACTGACTCTTGGTGATGAGGGCTGCTTTTGACCAGCTTGGTGTTGAAACTGTCCTGCAGTTCAGCAGGGCCTCACTGGGTGTCTGCACTTCCTCTGTGATGTGAGCCTGCCTCGTGAAGTGCTACAGGCTTGCTCCTGTGGTGAGGGACTCCTTGTGGCTTCCAGGACATGGCACGGCTGGACCCGCCCAGAGCTCCCTGAGATCTTACCCCTTCCTTCGTAGGGGCCGTCACCTAAGGTGGAAAGTCAGCCATCTTTGCAGTGACCCCAAAGAGGCCCTGCTCCCTTGGCCACCCACCCTGGTTGGGACACAGCGTGACCTGAGCTCACCACCTGCCGATGGGGTCACTGGCTTCAGAGTTACCCAGCCCAGCGCCCCTTCACGGACTCTCCCAGCACTGGCCCGTGACTGCTGCGTGGTGGGGATGCAGGCTGCCACTCGCTGCTCCTGGCGTTGATGGCTGCCCTGTGAGTGGTCAGGAGGCCCAGAGACATGAGGTTTGGTTCCTACCTCTGCCACCAGTCAGCTGTGTGACTCTGAACAGATCACCAAATCCTCCCACATCTGCGCTTTCTCACTGAAAAATGGGGTAACGGTTCCAGCGTGAGGGGTGTGGAAGGGGTTCCTTGGGGGTAGTCAGTGTTTAGTGTCCAGCACCGGGGGGGAGGGTGGTGCTGCTTGCCAGGGTGGCCACCATGGTATCTGTCCTGACGGTCTAAGGCTGGCCTCCTTTGGGCTCGGCAGGAGTTGGGCCCCGTTCTTTGGGAGGGAATTTAATTAGATCGTAGAAGAGAGAGAAGGCTGCTGTGAGGCTGGAGGGCGCCCAGCTGAGCTGTCGCTCCCACGTGGCTGGCAGCCGGGGAGACCGCCCGGTCTGCCTCGCCGAGTTCCAGGGATGGGCTCCGCCAGCGAGCGTTTGTGCCACCGAGCGTCTGTGCCCATTCACGGGGCTGCTGTGTGAGTTCCCAGACAGGTCGCTTCCCTATCTAGTCCTTCCTCAGTCTCCTCGTCTCTGAGACTTCTGTTGGTCCCCAGAGTTCCCGCCCGGGGCCAGTGCTGGTGGAACCCGTGACCTGACATGTGACGCCCCCAGTTCCTGTCTTTCTGGTGCAAGTTAACTTGAGTTCTTCCTTTGAAACAATGGAGGAAACCTGAGCCCGTCTTCTCAGAGCTGGTCCTTGTGTGGGAGGAGAGCTGTGCTGTGGGGCTGGGGCCGGCTTCTCAAGCTGGCCGTGATTCTCACCGTCCATGTCCCACCGTGGGGTCGGGGGGTGGATTGTCACGGGAAGCAATTCCAGGGCCTGGAATGCTCGCTGGGGACCCTGGGGCTGGGGTGGACAGCCTCGTGGCCCTGTCCTGCCGTGATCCGAGCGCCCTCGTGGGGCCTGACCGCCGGGCTGGGCTGGGCTTTGGATTGGGCTCCACCTCGGGGTGCGCTCACTTGCGCCTGCTCTGTGCCTGCTGTGGCCAAGCCCTTCTGCAAGTTTTTGGGATACAACCCAAACAAAAGAGAAGCAGGCTGCCCTCAGCCCGAGTGGGGGAGACTTGACAGACAGACAGCCAGCCCTGTGGGGAAGGAGGTCAGGAGCGGTGGACGGGAGGGAGCTGTCCACCTAGGACAGGAAAGCGAGGCTCTGAGCAGGGGAAGTTTGAAGAGCTGAAGGAAGGGCTGGAGGAAGACAGGAAGAGGTGTGGAGGAAGGGCCTTCTAGGCCAGGGGGCAGGGGCAGGGCTCCAAGGGGGAAGAGTTCAGTGAGGTCAGGACTGGGTTACAATGCCTGGGTGGGGTGGCCTGGGGGCGGGGGGTGGGGGTGGGATGTGGGCCTGCCTCCGGAGTGGGCCATGGCGAGTAGTTTATCCTGGTGTAAAAGGAGGTCCCTGGAGAATTTTGAGAAGGGGAGTTACCTGGTCTGTATTTTTAAAGGATTGTTCTAGTTGCTTGGGGACCTGTGGGAGAGCGCGAGGAGGCCCCGCAGGAGGAGGGTGGGTGGGAACAGAGTGGGAAGAAAGGGGCCCAGATGCACCATGTATGATGAAGGTGGAACCCAGTGTGGGATTGGAGGGAGAGGCGCCAAGCTGAGGTCAGGCTTTCTTCCTTAAATGAGTGGATGGACGGTGGTGCATCTCAGGAGGCGGGGAAGAGTTAGGGGGCTGCCCGTGGGGGCTGGGGAGACCAGGGCTCTGTCTGGGGCGTTATGATGTAAGTGTGGCTCCGCATTCGCGACAGGCCAGGCAGATGCCAGGGGCTTTGATGCGGGAGGGTTGTGAGTCAGCAGTGCGGCTGCGTCTAGGCCATGTGAGTTGCAGGTCAGCCCCAAGGCTGGGGCCCAGGGCCAGGACCGAGCTGGAAGGCGCCCGGCCTTCAGAGGGCCTGGAAGAGGAACCAACCTAAGAGACCAGAGACGGGGAAGGAGCGACAGGGGTGGCGGAAGACGCCGAGTGCACTGCGGCCGCAGAGCCAGTGCTGGGGGCGCCGAGTGCCGGTGGTGTGGGTGAGGGCAGGTGAGCGGCCAGCTTTGTAGGAGGACCCCAGTCAGCCGCGGGCACCGAGGAGTGGTGGGGCTGCCGGCAGGACTGGTCCCCTCGGGCCTGTTCCTGCGCACTGAGACGCCTGGGGAGGGCAAGGAGGCCGTCCCGCACCCCGTCCAGAAAACAGACCTTCATCAGCGGGTCACTCCATGGGAGGAGGAGGATGGGAGTCCCAGTGGTGGGGTGGAGAGGCCCCGTCACCTCCCTGGAGCGCAGACCCCAGGTCCCGGCGCGGGCTCGGTGCAGTCTCCAGGGCTGGACTGGGGGTGCACCCAGCCAGTATCTGCTGAGTCACTTCGGGAGTGAGGAACCAGTGACCCAACAGAGCCTGGTGGCAGGCCCTCCTCCCCTGCTGGGGTCTAGCCACCCCGCGGCCGCGCTTGCTTCCGCAGGTGCATGGAGGGGACCCGCACACAGGCGCGTGCCCGCCCGGGGAAAACTGGGTGCTGCGCCATCTGTCAGCATAGTGGGCGCATGCGCCTTTCCTGAAAGTGGTCTGTGATCCAGAGGTCGAGATCCCCGGGGCTGCTTTAAAGGCCTTTCTGTCCCCTGCAGCCGCTGGGGAGGAGTGAGTGAGCAGGAAGTTCAGGGGGCTGTGGAGTCCTGAAGCCTGAGGATAGAGACCCCAGGCCGGCGTTTATCCTGGGGGTCCGATGAGCTTTTATCCTGGGGGTGCGATGAGTGGCCCTAAATGCTGGCCCAGCACAGCGTATTCTCAGAGGCTCCTTGTGGTGGTGACATGCAAGAGAAGCGAGGCAGCCCCAGGGGCTCTTGTGGGCAGCGGTCGGGGGGGGGTGGGGGTGGGATGCCGCCTTTCCTGGGTGCTCATTGCTTAGTGCAGGCCCACCTTAATTCTGTAACTAATGCTCAAGTGTTTGTGTGCCCCATGTGGAGTCGGTGTCTCGGGGAGGGGCCTGGGCCAGGCTGGCAGGTGGCCTGGGCAGCTGCTGTCTGTGCGCAGTGTGTCTCGGGGCTGGAGGTCTGGGGCGGCCGCAGGGCGGTGCCCGGTGGTGCGGAGCCTGCGAGAGTGCCTGGGGTGGGGGTCACAAGGGGCGCAGCCATCCGTAGCAGAGAGTGCCCTGGAGCGAGTGGAGGGGCTTGTGGGATGGGGAAGAGACAGGGCGTGGCCGCATGTCTAACCCAGGGGTCTCTCCCGGACGGTCTGCTGCCCCTGCTCTCTGGATGGGGCTGTCTGGGTTTGGAGGAGCATGTCTGAGCCGTCAGGGAAGGGGGTGCGGGTTGTCTGAAGAACTTCAGCGTCCCCTTGTCCTTGGGCAGAGAGTCCCCGTCACCTGCAGGGGCCAAGGGCTGCCTTGCCCCCCTCCGCCTGTCATGGACGCTAGCAGGAGCATTGCGGTGAGCAGCGAGGACCCCTGTGAGAAGTGCGTTTTGACTTCCGACCTAACTGTCTCTCTCTCTCCCCGCCGCCCCTGCCCAGCTGGCCGGAGTCGTCTTCCTCGGAGTTGGACTATGGGCATGGAGCGAAAAGGTAGGTGTAACCGTCGCCAGGACCCTGTGCATTGGCCGCCAAAACCAGACCCCTTCCTCCAGACTCCCCCCGACGAGTGTCTCTTGTGCAAGGTAGTGGTTTGTCATCATTAATCTTTGCAGAGCAGCTCCTGGAAACAGTCACTGAAGGGACAGTGAAAACCCCTGGTCCTCGACTGGCTCTGCTCCCTGTGGGGGGTCTGTCCCAGAGGGCGGCTGATCTCTGAGCCCAAGGGTGTGCAGAGCCCTTTCTTCTGTCCCCAGAAGCCCCAGGTCGCCTGGGGGCTGGCCCGCAGCTGTGTCCAGGGCAGGCCCGGGCCGCGTCCTGACCCATCTGTGCCTCTGGGAGCCTGCAGGCCCCTGGACACGTCGTGTTTATCCCTGAGGTTCTCCTCCTCGCCCACAGAAAGAGCCCCTGAGGCAGGGAGTGGACACCTGTGGGACGGGCAGATCCTCACACACCTGTGAACTGCCCCCACCCTGTCCGGGAGAGTTGGGGAAGGGAGAGTGGGCTCTGACTGTCTGCTAGGACAAGGGGCGGTGGTAACCTGGGGAGGGGACTAGAGCACGTGGGCAGGTGGAGCCATGGTGGGCCGTCCAGGAGGTGGTGAGGGCTGGCAGGGCCAGGGGAGGAGCAGGTGGAGCTGGGGTGGGTGGTGGGGGTGGGACGTGAGAGCCGGGGGGGTGTTGG